TGCCGATTACTTCCCCATTACGTCAACCATTTCGGGCATGCTGAAGATCTTCGAGGAGCTTCTCGGTCTCGTGTTCGTGGAGCTGAAGGATGCGGACCGCGATGCCCTGAGCCCGACAGGCAAGGGCCAAGACATTGTGTGGCACGAGGATGTGGTTCTGTTCAGCGTTTGGGATGACGCGTCCGAGGGTGACGGCTTCGTCGGCTACCTCTACCTTGACCTCCACCCGCGCCCTGGCAAGTATGGACACGCCGCCAACTTCAACCTGCAGCCGGGTTTCCTGCGTGAGGATGGATCGCGTCGCTACCCCGCCACGTCGCTGGTATGCAACTTCAGCAAGCCCACGCCGAAGAAGCCGTCGCTGCTGAAGCACGACGAGGTCGTCACACTGTTCCACGAGCTGGGCCACGGCATCCACGACCTTGCGGGCCGCACCAAGCACAGCCGATTCCACGGCACCAGCGTAGTCAGGGACTTTGTTGAAGCGCCGTCGCAGATGCTGGAGAACTGGTGCTGGACGCCCAGCGTGCTCACGTCGCTTTCCAGCCATTACGAGACGGGCGAGAAGATCCCCGACGACCTTGTCGAGAAGCTCATGTCGACGAAGCACGTCAACTCGGCCTTGTTCAACCTGCGCCAGCTGCACTTTGGCATCTTCGACATGACGATCCACACGCCCAAGACACACGAGGAAGCGAAGAACCTGAAGCTGTCGGAGCTCTACAACAATCTGCGCAGCGAGATTGCGGGCCTCAAGGGCCCCGAGGCCAAGGGCGAGAAGGGGTGAGTCCGACACGAGGCTACGTTCTGCGAGACTTGTACTGACACTCATATTCCAGCGGCAACGGCCAGGCGACATTCGGTCACCTCATTGGCGGTTACGACGCTGGCTACTACGGCTACCTGTACTCCGAGGTGTACTCGACCGACATGTTCCACTCTGTGTTCAAGGCCGACCCCATGAACGGCAAGGAGGGCCGTCGCTACCGTCACACGGTTCTGGAGAAGGGCGGCAGCCGGGATGAGATGGTGTCTCTGGAGGAGTTCCTCGGTCGCAAGCCCAGTACTGCAGCGTTCTACAAAGAGCTCGGTATCCCGATTTAACGCTGATAAGCTGGAAGGACTCGGCGTATGCGGCCGCATCCTGGCAAGAGGTGTATCCTGCAGTGTCTAGACCTAGTAGCGGAAGAAGTCGATGAACGAAGCGGATGACCTTGTGCCAGAAACAGGCGGATGCCTGGTACCTTGCCTGTCTGCCTAGGTACCTAATAATATACCTATTACGATTCAGTGACTACACATACATTTAGCTGTGCCTGCCTAGGTAGATAGGTGGGTACCTAAGGTACCGTACCTGAGGTACCTTACGCACCTGGATGAAGCAGAAGCAGCCTGTGCACGGACCACATGTACTACCCCACCGCATGGAGACGGATGTAAACAAACGCGACACCAGCAACTACAATTGCAGGTCCAAACAGTAGCATCCGATCCTGGGGTTCAACTCTACCTACGTCTCCCGATTTCGTCCTTGCACCGCATTCCTGCCACGACATCAGTGCCAGTATTCTTTTCCCTTGGTCCATCACCTTTTCCTAGAGAGTTTGCCTCGCGACTTGATGGTGTCCATGACTTTATCTTAGGTTTTCTCACTGTCGCCTGAGCACGCGTCCCCCGACTGGCGCCTCCCTTCGTCGATCAACCGACATATTCCCCCCCCCCCTCCTCCCTCTCATTGCCGTACACAAACCAAGTTTGATACATATACACACCGCGGTCGAAGAACAGCGTCCTCCGATTCGAAAATGGCCACAGCGCTCGTGGCCCCCGAGTTCACCTTTCGAAGGGCGAAAGGCCTCCTTCGAGAGGAAGGTCCCGGCCCCGAAGCGACGAGGCTCTGCGGCGACCAAGCGGCCAAGACGCTGACATGGCCGCACGCAAAAGTTCCTCTCTCCCGAATCGGTACGCCCCTCTTTTTTTCTTCTTTTTTTTTCTTTTTGGCCTGGTACCCAGGTACGTGTGGATTTGCTGACCTTTTTGCGCCTCGCAGCTCGCCCGGCGCCGGCTTCAGCTGGCGCCCGCTCGATGGTAGCCCCGACAACGTGCAGTGCTTCTTGTGCAACAAGTCGCTCGACGGCTGGGAGGAGGGCGACGACCCGCTCGATGAACACGTCAAGCACCGCGCCGCAGTGCGGTTGGGCCGTCTGCGCCGCTATCGAGGCGGGCTATGGCGGCTTGAACGGCGAGGATCCCAACGCGCCGCGCATGCTGGAGGCGCGCAAGGCGACCTTTGCCGGGCTCTGGCCGCATGATGGCAAGAGGGGGTGGAAGTGCAAGACGAAGCAGGTGGGTTGCTGCCCCTTTTTTTCTGCTTGCGTGTTTACTTGCTTGCTTGCTCTCTCTGGGCAATCGAAAGCTGACGACCTTGGTGTAGCTTGCTGAGGCTGGCTGGAAGTGGACGCCCATGGCTGAGTATGATGACATGGCTACGTGCGCGTACTGCGAGCTGGCGCTTGACGGATGGGAGCAAGGGGATAAGCCACTGTGAGTCGGCATTCTTCTGGATAGCCGCGTACTTCGACGCTTTGCTGACTTGCTGCTTTCCATAGTGACGAACACATGAGTCGTTCGCCCGACTGTCCGTTCTTTGCCCTCCTCGAGGAGCACGCTGGCAAGCGCAAAACCTCCAAGGCGAAGAGCGCGCGGGGCTCCAAAATTTCGCGCGCCTCGGTCCAGTCGGTCGCGACGACAGTCGAGGAGGTGTCTTCCATAGCCGATGATATACCCGCCGAGTACGATGACAGCATCATGACGACCGCCTCTACGACGAGCAAGAAGGGCGGGCGCGCAAAGAAGACGACAACGGCTACAACGGCCAAGGCACGAAAGACGAAGACCAAGAAGGAACAATCGGTAGAAGCACAGGATGTGGACTCTGGGATCGAGGAAGACATGCCGCCACCGCCAGCGAAGCCTGTTCGTGGGCGCAAGCGTGCTAGTGACGCGCTCGACGACTCCATCATGACGAATGCTGAAGCTCCGGCGCCCAAGAAGCGGGCCACGAAAGTCCGCGCCAGCAGCGTCACAGATGCCTCGGTCGTGGAATCTGCTTCGGCCGATATCGATATGGACGATGCGCCGCAGCCCATGACCAAGGGTCGCAAGACGGCGCGGGGATCAAACGCCAAGAGCACGAGGAAGGCTTCCAGCGTATCGGTCAAATCAATTGGTTCCGTGGCTTCTGCCCAGACCGCGCCAGGGGCTTTCCCTGATGACGACGAGATCGACCGTCAGCTGGAGGCCGACCTTGAAAGACCCCTCACAGACGAAGAAGACGTGTTGCAAAATGCCGACATGGAGCAAAACAACACAAGAACGACGCAGCCAGAGGCACATGTTACTGAGTCAAATGTGAAGGCGAAGAACGGGTCCAAAACAGGCGACAGCTCCAAGCTTTGGTTTGATCCCTACCCTAAAGTCGACGACGCAGATGTCGAGGAGGACCTGCGTAGGCTCGAAGAACAGATGGCCGCTGAGCAGGCGGCGGCGGCGGAGGAGGAAGAGGCCTCGCTTGAGGTGCCTAAGAAGGGCCGCAAGGCGGCAGGCACACGAAAGGTCTCCAAGACCAAAGCCCAGAAGACCAAGGAAGCCAAAGAAGCAAAGGCTGCGGCGGAGGCAGCAGCGGAGGCAGAACTGGCAAAGCAACAAGCACAAAAGTCGTCGAGCCCGGAGCCCGCGGAAGGTCTCGAAGAGCACGACGAGAGCGTTGGAACCGTCGTCACTGGTAGCAGTAAGGCGCGGTCCAGTGATGTGCGGCCCTCAAAGCGCTCGATTGCTTCGCGACTGTCTCTGGCTGCTGATGAGCCTGATGAACTGTCCTACCATGAGTCGGGAAATGCTGACGAAGAGGCTGTGGACGACGTGCTTGCGGATGCGGAAGAGGACATCATTATTCCTGAATTCCCTGACGTACCTGAAGCTCGGCAATCGCTTGCGTCGCGCCACGAAACACCAGAGCCCGTGGCAACAACCGCAATACGGGCATCCTCGTCGCCGGCACCAGCAGATCAAGAGAACGAGGCACCTGTGCCGGCCCCTTCTTCGCCTGCACCCCCTTCATCGATTCCCCGGCGCCTGCAGCCGCCGTCTACACCGCGACACCAGGCTTCACCGGCGCAGTCGGCGCGTCAGCCAGCCGTCTCGCCTTCTCCCTCCCCTCAACCCTCTGACGCCGAGAACCAGCCTCCGTCGGCCAGACCGGCTACGGTCAAGCGCGTCGCCCTCGCACCTGTGGCCGCCACACCAATGCGTCACGGATCGCCCTCAAAGCGAAACGTTGTTGCCGGTCTCCGCAGCACGACGCCCTGGACAGCCGTGGACGTCGACAATATCTTCTCCTCACCACAGAAGGGCAGCAGCAGCAACAGCGATGAGGAGAATGGGACCGATCGGTTCCTGGCGCACGGCGCCGAGCTCACGAGCCCAGAGAAGCGCATGACGGTCGAGGAGTGGATCTACCACAACGCAGAGAAGGCCGAGGCCAAGCTCAAGCACGAGTGCGAGGCCATGGTAAGCCGGTTTGAGAGCGAGGGCACGCGAGCGATGGGTGTGCTCGAGGGCATGATTGTGGACTGAGCGGACACTGGGGCGTTTGTGGATCGGGTCAAGATTCGGGGAACATCTGTATGTGACAATGTCGGCTTCTGGGTACGGGACACGGTACGGGACAATTCGGCATGGACTGGCTTTTGGGATGCTGCTCTTGGTTGAGCTGGCGTGGTGGCACCCAGACTGATGATTATGAAAGCCGTAATACAAGGATGGCAATCCATTTTTCCAATGGAGTAGCAGTTGATTGATCTTTGAAGTCTGCACAGCACCTTGGCACGACTGAATTCGAACTGCCGCCGACGGAAATCGACTGGAATCGTGAAGTCGAGTCGTCTACCGGGAATAACAGGGATTACAAATAGGGATGGTAACTTGTCCCCATATTGACGAGTTGCCACTTTGGGTAAAGCACAGGAGACTACGAGCCTCGGCCCTGGATTACTCCATGATCTTTAATCGGGAGGGGTCAGCTCTCTGGATTTCAGCATTCTGGGCACCGGGAGCACTGCAACGCATTACAAACCAGCGAGACTGACGACAAGAGGCGACAGACGTCTTCAGATTTGGCACCACGTATACGAAGACTTTGGTTGAAAGGACATCGTGATCCATATTTGACGAAGAACTCACTAAAGCAGGCAGAGCTCATTTCTCCTCTCGCCAGTCCGGCCTTGACGACTTGATCGGTTCATCAACATGGCATCCTTCGATGAGTACATCTCGGTTGGTGTCCGCGACGGCATCCTTCCGGGGGCTATCCTTTACGCGATAGACAAGTCAGGTATGGCGATGAGCGATGGCACTGGCAGTCGATCTGTTGCTGTCGAGCGAGTTCCAGTCACTTACACAGCGGGGTATACAGGGAAATTCAACTATTCCAACATTCTTAGCCCCAAGTTGCCGTCTCACATACCTCAGTTGAAGCCCTCAAGCACGCTGTGGCTCGCGTCCGCCACAAAACTCATCACCACGATTGGCATCCTCCAGCTCGTGGAGCGCGGGGTCGTGACCCTCGACGAAGACGTGTCCTCCCATATCCCCATCCTCGCTTCTCAGCAGGTCCTCACGGGCTTCCCATCGCCCGACCGAAAAGCGCAGCCTACCTTTGCGCCCCGCGCAAAATCCAATCACCCTCCGCCCTCTTCCTCACGCACTCGGGCCGGCACAACGTAAAAATTTTTCTCTCGGCCCGAAAATCCAGGCGCTGGCAGGCCCCTTTCACAAGAACCCCGCCGGCTGTCCGGCGCCAACGTCGACGAGCGCTTCGCCTTCCCCGCTCCTCTACAGCCGGGTGAGGGCTTCAGCTACGGCAGCGCCGTTGACTGGGCCGGCCGCGTCCTCGAGTCCCTCACAGGCACCTCCCTGCAGGCCTATCTCGACCGCCACGTCTTCGCGCCCCTCGGCCTCACGTCCTTCACCTTTCGCGAGGCCCGCGTCCTCGACGACGGCTCCCTGTGGCCGCTGAGCGTGCGCGACCTCGCCACCGGCACAGCCCATCCCTACACGGGCCCGCACCTCAACGGTGGCCTCGACCCGGCGGCCGCGCTCGGCGGCCAGGGGCTCTACGGGCGGCTCGACGAGTATCTCGATATTCTGCGCTCGCTGCTCGTCGACGACGGCAAGCTTCTGCGGCCCGCGACGGCGGCGCAGATGTTCAGGCCGCAGCTGGGCGGCGCGGCGCGGGCGGCGCTCGACCGGGAGATGGAGGATCCGTCGTGGGCGGTGGGGGATTTCCCCGCGACGGGCGAGTACGACTGGGGGCTTGGGGGCTTGCTCATTGACGGGCATGCGCATCTGCATCGGAGGAAGGGGGCGCTGATGTGGTCTGGCGCGGCCAACATTTTCTGGGTGAGTGGTATAGTCCCGTCACGCTGCGAGCTGGGACATACGTCTTCGTGAGTTTAAGCTGACGCTTTGGGTGAACTGTTTAGTGGATCGACCGCGAGGCCGGCGTTGCTGGTCTGTTTGGCACGCAGATCATGCCGGCTGCGGAGCCCATTACCGAGCAGTACATCAAGGCTTTTGAGGATGAAATGTATTCGAGGGTCGAGGCTTTGACGACCGAGCCCAAGATGAAAACGCGGCTGTGATGGCTTGTTGGGCTATCGTCGAGTTGTCGGTCGCTTTCGGGCGGCGACTCCATGTTGAAGCACGGTGGGCTGGATCCTCGTCGTCGGCATGGCGATGATATCAAGTCGTGGGAGCACGGTAGTATAGCACGATGTGGAACTGAGAATCGAGAAAAGCCTTGCAAAATTCTGAAATGAATCTGGCGTGACTATTGCGGTTCATCAAGGAGGATACGAGTGATGTTCTTATCTTAAATCGGGCCGCCGTCAAGAAGTGGCATGACCGTACGACTGATGACGGCGATCACCTGTCGTGCCATGCCGAACCATGTCCGATGGCCGAAGTCAGATCGCAACGTCTCAAGATTCGTTAAGCAGATTTCCGCGCTTTCAAGGTTCATTTAGCGTCCGACAATGTGCGCCCGCTGAGCCGCATGTCACCATCGACACCATCCCAGATCGGCACTTGAGCCGTCGGCCTTAAGCAGGTCATCGACGTGACCAATGGACGATTGATCTGGCGACCGCCATTTCATCCAGCAAACATCAACTCGATACGTCAACGGAGGCGCTGGCTACACCCCGGCGCATCGATGTGACCTGACATTAACACCGCCGTTCCATCTTCGTCGGTAGATTGTACGATTTCCTTCCCTGCAAGCGGCCCGAGGCCAAGTCGGACCGGCCGGGACGAACCAATAAATAGACTCGCGACCGCAGTTCGGCTGGGATACTGAACAACAAGCTTCTTTCCATAATCTTTGTTCCTATATCACCTTCATCATTATGTCTTGTCTAACTATCGACTCGTTACCCAACGAGGTTCGCTACTTCTTCTCATCCAACATAATGTTGCGCCAACTGATCAATGGTCCCTCAGATCCTCGATGCCCTCCTAGCACCCCTTCCTGCACGCACCCTCGCGACCGCCGCTCTCGTGTCGCGCCGCTTTCACGAAGCAGCGTCAGCCTGCCTCCGCGTCCGTCTCCTGCAGACCGCCGCCCTCGGCACTCGCGAGCTCGTCCTCGAATGCCACGCCCCGAGCGAACGGCGCGCCCCCAGCACGTCCTGCCGATCGGCCGGCATGGGACCGCTTGTCGGCGACGCCAGGCTCGGCGGCTGGTATTCACGGTTCGCCTTCGAGGAGGCCCCCGAGAGGGAGGTTCTCCTCGATGAAGACGAGTTGTTCGCACAGCTCTGTGTCGGCGTCAGTGTCGTGCAGCGGGGCCCCGCACGGGGCCTTTTCATGAGCTACACCGGCGTCGGCGACGGCGTGCTGAGGGTCTGGCGCACGTGGTTGAGCGATGCTACTGCAGGCAGAGGCGACGTTTTATGGGCTGATCCTTGGAAGAGCGTCGGCTTGCGGTTCGCTGTTGAGCCGATGGTGCTGCAGGAGCCTGTCGGGGCGCTTCCGAGACGGCGGCCACTTAGCGACGAGCCGGCCGTCAAATACCGACTGCGGCTTGAGGGTGAGTTACCCAGTTTTGATACCTGGTGATGTCGCGGTATCGACTAATCTACTCAGAATTGCTTGTCCGGACGACGCAGGTGTTGTTGGCGCTGGACAAGGCGACGGCGCAAGACGGCGCACGAACAGGTAAAGCCATCATCATCACCTCTTATTAAGAAACCGCATCCTCTCCGACGACTCCGCCAGGCGACCGGCGCAAGACCGGCCTAACAGCTAGCCGGAGGTGATCCGAATTTCTTTCGTTACTTTTGCTTTCTAACCCTTTAGCAGCAGGTCTTCCTCTGAAGGCCGCAGGTGGATGCAGTGTGCCTGTTCAGATGGTCTGTCTCCCATTTCAGGAGCAGAAGCCATTGCAGCGACCTCCAATGGCGGTCGTGTAATGACAATTTTTATGAAGCGTGCGCGTTCTGTCTTTAAGTGTATTGTGGGATATGAGGATTGAACTTGCGGAATAATTCGAGATCGTCGGAAGAACTACAAGAGAAAAGATCATAGAGACGTGGACAAAGATATGACCTTGAGTTTTTTATATTTTACTATCGCATTTGAGGTAGATACAGCTCTATGAAGTCACACAGGCCATCGCCAATAGGGGTGTCTCTTCGTCAAAATATTCACGCCGGTTGACAAGCATATGCAGGTAATTATCGAGGATAATCGTCCTATCACGCCAGAAGAAGAAGGGCTACACGCAACAACTACCAATGGCACGAGATGTCATGATTGTAGTTGCTGGTCATCACTCCAGTGTACATTATTGTCTACAAGAGACGAGTGCTCGTAAGCTCCCACCGTGTACCGATCCGGAATATTGATGGAATCTTAGTTGGGTCTTCCCGACAGGGGGCCGGCCACGAGTCCTTACGACCTGCAGGTGACCCATTCAGAGACGCACAAATGAGGCGCGGCAGGGCTAAAAGGCATGCCTTTGTGCTTCTAATCGTGAGTAACACATGCGCCATTTCCTCGTGTTCTTTTAGGTCAGGCTGGCCTGTAATCACCCTCGGCAAACCATTGAAGGACGCATCAAGCTACCACTCATTCCTGTCTACTCAATCACAGCGAGCCTGCAGCTGGCTCCAGCCATCATGAGCCTCGAGCATATGATCAAGGTTTTGGTGCTCCATCCTCACTATGGAAAGCCTGAAAGTCCCATCGAATGCGTCGCAACTTCAGTTCTACTCTCCGAGAGCCCAGTGTACGAGGCGCTGTCTTATGTCTGGGGTACTCAGAAGACGCTGATGAATGTCTTTGTTTCTGGCGCTCTCGTCGCCGTGACCCAGAATCTCGAAACAGCTCTTCGCAAGCTCCGCCTGCCCAACCGCGATCGATGCCTCTGGATCGACCAACTCTGCATTGACCAAGATGATCCAAAAGAGAAGGCTATCCAGGTGCGACTCATGAGGACCATTTACTCAAAGTGCACTCGATGCATAGTCTGGCTTGGTGAGATACCACAACCACTCAGCCATGAAGACGCCGACGCCGCCATAGACATCATCCGCTACATGGCTGCCGTCTACGAAGCCGGTACTGAAGAAGGCGTACACTACCCTCCCACACTGCTGGGCAAACCCCGCTTCAACGAAGCTGTCCAGTTCTTGAGATTCTTTACGCGGCAGGATAATGCCTGGTGGACAAGAGTATGGACCCTTCAAGAAGTGGCACTGCCCCCTTCCGTTGATATGCTTTGGGGCTCCATCTATGTGTCCTGGGACGTCATCCTCCAGGCCAAGAACCTTGCCGTGACGAAAGGCCTGGCTGCAGCGTTTCCGCCCGTCGACGACATGCTGCCGCTTCACTACTTTGTCACGAACGTGGCGTGGGTCGACGACGCGCGTCAGAGGTTGGATAGTCCTTTCAACTCGGTTCACAAGTGGCGGTGGAGAGGCGCGACAGACAAGCGCGACAAGATTTACGGGCTGCTGGGCCTGGTCGATCCTGGCGTACTGCCCATTACGGAAGCGTGCGACTATGAGGTGCCTGCTTCGGAGGTCTTTGCCGTTGCGACCCTTGAACTCATTGTAGCTGAACAGAGCCTTCTCCCCATGGTTACGTGTTCGCGTGTCGAGGAGGAGAATGCGACGCCCGACATTCCTCGATGGGCGTTGGACTTGGGGAATGCGCCTATGTACAACACCAACTGGGGTCCCGTACACTGCTTCCCTATCTACAACGCTTGCGGCGGGGCGAAGGTCAACATTGATGAGATCAAGTCATTGGCAGCCCGCCCGGTCCAGGGTACTGGAAATCGGTGGATGGTATATCGATACAATTGACCTCGTCGGTGACAAGATTCTCATCGATGAACATCAACATGGCCACGAGAATCCTGTCATACGAGAAAAAGTCCGCCAATGGAAGACCGTCGCCGAGTCGAGTTCAGCTTTTCAAGAAGCCTACTTCAAGGCGGCAGAGGGAAAGCCAAGCAAACTTGACGAAACGTTCGCTCGTGTACTACTTGGCGATTGGGTTCGGGATCACGACCAGACTGCCCTGAGAGAAGCAACATTACAGGACGTGGAGGACGCCCTGCGATTCTGTGATACCGGCGAACTAAGCATGCATATGCGCAACACGATCCTGCGCCTGGCAGCGAACCAAGTCTTCTTTGTCACGAAGACAGGCTACATGGGAATGGGTACTCTGGATTCCCAACCTGGCGATGAGGTGTGGGTGCTCGAGGGGGGAAATTACCCCTTTATCCTGAAGCCAAAGCCAGAACCGACGGAGAAGGACTTTGTCGGCAGTGGCTATGTTCAGGGCATAATGAAAGGCGAGCTTTTCTCCCATGATGATCAGAGCGAGCTAAAGCAGCGGTTGTGTATTTGTTGATGGCTCCGCGGCGTGCGTATCAGTCTGGACAGGGGGAAAGTCTTTATAGTGCACGGTCTGTTTCTCGTCCCTCGTATCACATAAATCGACCGGCCAGACTTTAGAGTTTTTCGAATTGAACTTTCAAGACTTTCCAACGGATAATTTTCAGTTTGCGTGTCTAGTATGAGACATATTCCACCAACGGCCGTCGTTTGATTCAGCGGTGCTGCTCGCAACATTGTCAGTATTTAATTTGGAGCAGAATGAAGGGGTGTTACGCACGTGGTCGTCGGTCACTAGATGATGGATATGGGATTGTAATACATCCGAATTCTGGCCCTCCGCAGCTTGGAAGACCCTCCGCAGTCCTTATACATACGCTCTCGTAATCCTTAGCCCCTGACTTGTTCCCTATGCCGTGGCTCCGCAGGGGTCTTCTGACAAATATGTCCTGCAAAACAGTCCAGATGTTGAAGTTGACATGTGACCTTAGAGCACCAAAGCCGCAATTTCCCATGAGATATTTGAGAGACTGCTTCAAATAATGGTCGAATAAAATGGGCGAATCTTGATAGTAAACAGTAGTTTTCTTTCAAAAGTGGACTTTCACTTCATGACATGCATCTAACTGGAAGATCATATAATCAAATCGGTGTCAAGAGTATGTATTAATTAAAATTACTCAGAGAGCTGATCTCGATGATACTATATCGCAGAAGGCAAGCATATGTGCGGCTTTTTCCCATCAGGTTTACACGCGAAATCGCTTTTTTATAGCTCAAGGATGCCCACACCGGCAACGGTATTCTCATCAGCAGCCTGGACGGTGTTACCGTCGGCAGTGCTGAGGATGACGTAGACCTGACCAGCGGGACCGGCCTTGCCGTCCTTGCCCTGGGGGATGTAGTGAAGGGACATACTGGAGAAAATACATGTCAGCAATGCTGTCAAGTGATAGGCACGGCGTAGAGAGTACTCACGTCGTCACCGTTGCGAGAAAGGCAGCCGTAGTAGGTGTCGAGGCCAGAGTAGAAGACGGCAGAGACCTTCTGTCCGTACTTGACAAGACCCTCCTTCTCAGCGGCAGCAGCAGCGCCGGGGAAGACGAGGCCGTGGCCAGCCTTGACGACAGACAGAGAGGGAAAGGCGCGGAAGGGGAGCTCAGGGGTACCAGGGGCGAAACCGGCGACAAACTGGGCAGCGAGAGAGAAGACCTGGTTGAAGTTGAGGGGGGTGTCGAACGGGGTGGGGAAGGGTTTTTGGCCGATGGCATTACGGATGTAGGCTGCGTGGCGAGCCTCGACGGTCAGGATAGCGCCGGCAGCGGTCACGTAAGCCTTGTCGGCGATGACGGCGGCAGCGCCGAGGTAGGCCGAAACACCGACACCCTCGAGAATGGCGGAAAGGCCGAGGAAGGACTTGGCGTCAGTGGAAGGGAAAGCAAAGGTGGGCTCAGGAATGGCCTTATCACCAAGTGCGCCCGCGAGGAAGTCAACGTGTGTCTTCTCATCAGAATAGATGGTCTGAAGGTTCTCATAGAGGTTGGCATCCAGACCGGCACCAGTAAGCTCCTCCTTGGTGTAGTTTGCCAGGCCCTGCTCGTAGAATTTGCGCTCAAGGAACTCAAGCGTGAGGGCATAGTTGAGGATATCAATGTCACCTCCGGGGAGAGGGTCGTAGTTGTCCTTCTTGACCAGAGGGACGCCGAGAACTGAGCCAGCCGTGGAGGCGGCGAGGAGGAAGGTAGAAGTACGCATGATGACTGATATTGGAGTGGGGTTGAAAAGAGTGTAGGCTGGGTTGAATTAGGGGGTATAGTAGTATGAACAAGGTGGTGGATGATGATTCCATACAGGTTACCTACGGAGGTCCAAGTAACGCTCTTATATACCTTAGCGTGGTCAGACAGACAAGCTGCTTGAGATTCTGCCGTAATCCATCGCAACCTCACTTCAGCCAAATCTGATGTGATCATAGACAAGTCTCAGGCTCGATGCCGTCCTGACTGCAAGATGGGTTCCGGATGGCATTTCTCCCTTGCGCTATCGATGATCGACTTACCAAGACAAGGGCAATGAAGGATGCGCCAAGACCACTCCGGCTGGAGAATAGGGCGGAGGTCTGCGCTACGCTCGGCAAGTAACGTGCCCCTCGACTCTCGCGATGTTTGCTAGGGACGCGGGGGAGATGAATGTCTCGTCATTGTTGCTGTCAGTAAGCAATTAGGCTCACAAAAGGTGGGATGGTTGATGGGAAGACGGGCCACAATGCAGGGATGCTCTCGCTGGACAGTCAACTTCTTCGGCAAAAGCAAAAACGCCAAAGATCTACCCTTAACGCCTCGATCGCCCCCCAGTGTAACCAACGGCAGCCCAAATGAGGGTGTCTTGAACCCCACGTGAGCTGCAAGGTGAGAGGAGACATGGACTGTTAGTTGCGGCCGATACTGCTATGCCGGGGATCCGGGAGACTAAGCCTGCCGGATGTGGAGGATACCGAGAACTCTCGGTAAAAGCAGTATCCGGGGTCACTAGCGGCCAGTCGCCATATGTCTCGTTTGGGCAATAGGGGCACGAATCACTATGTAAGGATGTAGCCTAACGGTCGCGTCATCAATGTTTATCGTTCCCCGCGTTCGAAGGAGCTCGAAGCCAAACTCGTTTTCGTTCACAGGTGCCACGAATGTTTTCACATCGAGTCCGTTTCCAACCTTCCAAACCATGCTGCTCACAGGCAACAATGCAGCACTGAACAAGGCACCTTGGGTAAAGTGCTCGATCTTGGGCATATGAATAGCTTGCGGCGTTTATCATATCTCCGACGTCTTATTCAAGAGTGGGTGGTTCTGGTCGATGACGTTGATCTTACCACCACGGGCCAATGAGTTGGCGCATGATGAACGCATTGGAAGGTTTGTGTTGGAAGTTTTGAGGCTCAATAGGAGAAAACTCATCAACCTTTGCTTTCACGCAAATCCGTCAAGCATCACACCATCGAGCCAACCCGTTTCGTAGACAATTGACATGTCGCCCCAAGGTTTCGCAATCATCATCGGCGCTGGCCCCACATCCGGAGCGGGCATCGCCCGAGTCTTGGCCAGCCCCGACCATGGCAACCTCGCCGTTGCGCTCCTCGCCCGGAACCCGGATAATCTGTCTTCGCTGTGCTCAGATCTGAGAAAGACCTCCCAAGGTGTCTTCCAGCCGTTCCCGACCGACACCGGTGCCGACAATCTCCGTCGCACCTTCAAGCAGATTGCCGAGCATGATAATTTCAAGGATCTGAAGCTCAAGCTCGCCGTCTACCACGTCAAGCACAGCAGCAAGAAGCCGTTCCTCGAGGAAACGGCAGAGGCATTCACCGACAGCATGCAGACGTACACGACGGGAGCCTTCGTCTTTGCTCAAGAGGCGCTGAAGCTGTTTTATGCGCAGAACGGAGGCCAGACGCTGCTGTCCGAGACCAACGGGGAGAAGAAGGGCACCATCATCTTCACCGGCACGCTGGGCGCCATGAGAGCGAATGTTGGATTCGCCGCCTACGGTGCCACGCGCGCCCGGCGCGGATGGTGTCGCAGGCCGTGGCCAAGGAGCACAGCAAGTTTGGCGTGCAGTGCGTGCATGCTATTGCGAACGGCGGCATCATCGATGCAGATAATGAGGACACTCGCACGGGTAAGAAGATGGCGGCGGAGGAGGTTGGTAAGACGTATCTCTGGCTCTCTCAACAGCCCAGCTCGCTTTGGGTGCATGAGCTCGGCCTGCGGCCTGCACAGGAGGCTTTCTAAATGCTACACCGGTCCTTGGTTTTCAATCGAGTACAATGCCTTGGGAAGGCCTCTTCGCTCCCAGGTCCTTTACCGTACAGTGAATATTTCGTGTGAGAATACACACACTTCGTATGGTGACAGCTCGTCCTTACGAGTCGGTACACTTGTATTGCCTTGGACTGCCACCTCCAAGGCGCAGCTGAACAGCCGGCAAAACCGATGACGCTGAGAAACATAATGTTCAACCTATTGATAAGTGGTCTGATTTTGATATGTTGAAGTAGTTGCGCCGTGTGTATCTATATCCCAAGTCTGGTTCTGATTGAGGTTACAAGCTGTCCTTCAGCTCCTTCTTGATCCTCGTAATGGTGCCCGACCCGCCATACGTGAGACCTGTGTACACCATGGCAACGCTCGCGCCGGCATTCAGCATCTCAAGCGCCTGCTTCCCGTTGGTCACGCCGCCCGTGGCGAAGATGACCTTCTGCTGGCTGCCAGTGCCCTTGGCGCCTTCAACGCCCGTCACGGCAACCGCCTCGGCCTCGGCGCTGAGGGTGCGCGCATCGAGAAGCTGGCGGTACCGCTTGACGAGACTCAGAGTGCGGCCGTACATGGCGGGGCCCGAATAACCGCCGTCCTCGAGCAGGTTCCTCTGCTCACGCGCTGAGAGGGCGACGCCCTCAGGGACGATGCCGGTGCGCCTCTTGGTCGTGTTGCCGACAATGACGCCATCGACGCCGCTTTCGCAGACGGCCTGGACGATGCCCTCCATCTGCGTGTCCTCCTCCTCGTCGGGTGATACTTTGACCATGACCTTGGGCTTGATCCTCCTGTCGGTGCGCGAGGCCTCGTCGACGACGGCGCTGAGGACACGCGTCAGGGGCTCGACGGCCTGAAGGTCGCGGAGACCGGGGGTGTTGGGGCTGCTGACGTTCACAACGATGATGTCGGCGTAGGGCGCCAGCGCCCGGACGCAGAAGACATAGTCGGCGGCCACGGCGTTGACGTCACGCTCATCGGTGGCCTTGTTCTTGGCGATCTGAACGGCGAGGAGGCGGCCCTCCTCCAGACTTCCGGGGGGCAAGCCAGTGACGCCATCGAGAAGGTCGCGCTCAGTGAGGCCAAGGTCGCGGGCGCGGGTTCGCAGGCGCTCACGCAGGCGGCGAGCCATGGCGTCAGCGCCGTGGGAGTTGAGGCCGTACCGGTTGATCATGCCGTCGAGGATTGGCACGCGAAAGACGCGGGGCTTTGGATTGCCGTCTTGAGGAAAAGGAGTGCAGCCGCCAACCTCGACGATGCCGGGTCCAAGGGCAAAGAGGGCGTCGGGGATTTCGGCGTGCTTGTCGAGACCGGCGCTAATACCGATAGGGTTGGCCAGCTTGGTGCCGAAGACCTCAACAGACAGAGCAGGATCTGTGGCGAGAGCAGTATCACGCTCGCGAGGGTGAAGGCCGAGGGCGTATAGCGTCTGGAGGGCGGTGGTACCGGCATGGTGAGCATCTTCGGCATCGGGGAAGAGCAGGCGCATCATGGGAGGAACAAGCCATCGGTGGAGGGAGGCGCGGGTGTCGGTAGCGTAAAGATAGGAGATGTAGAGCGAGCCGGCAAGAGCGCCGCTGTAGATGAAGATCTTGGCATTTGAGCCCGCGTTGCTGCCGGAGGAGGTAGAGGCGTTGCGTCGGGCAAAGTGATTGGGAAGTCGCAGTCGAATGGCTGGCGTCGTGGCAGAACGAAGGGCTGGTCGCGCGCGACTTGATCGCAGACAGACAGAAGCCATCTTGGGCGAGCAATGCCGATTGTGTCCGGCACTCAATGGCTCAAGATGATGGATGATTCGCGTGTTGGCGGGGAAGTTGGCGGTGCAGACGTCAAATGGAAAGTGAAGCTTGTGACGATCGGAAGCACCTTACGTCAGCAGTTTGCCTTGGTTGGAAAAGAGCACCGCATTTCCAAGGTACGGCGGTCTATTGTTTAAGAATGGATCGTATGATGAATGCACCTTTCTATATTCTATCGACTTTCCCGTCTACTTGTATCCAAACCCAAACGCCGAACATGCAAAACCAGTTCCCAGGCCAGAGGATCGTGCCTCTGTGATGTCGTCACACCTCCATCCTCGCCAGTTGGCGGCTATTTGGAACTACTGGCACCACCTCCTCCCGGCCAGCCGCGAGCGCAGCTGCTTCCTCGGCCACCTCTGCCTCCCGGTTCAAGAAGCTCAAATAGGTCTGCCAGCCAACGGCAATGACGCCGGAGAAGACGCTGCGGTACTCCATCGGAATGAATGTGAAGCTAAAGGCTGTTACCGCAGGCCATAGCTTGCACGAGTTAACGATGCTCGTCGGCACCGTCCGCCGGATCCGCTCCACGACCTGCTCGAGGCTGTCGCCCGCGAGGAACGCCTGCATTCCGAAAAAGTACGAGTTGAACAGCGGTGTGAAGCACGTCTGGTTGACAATGATCTTGACCGCCAGGGACCCGATGCGCGACGCATAGTTGAAGTTGACCGAGAGGAAGATGAACCTGCGAGATGCCATCCGTCAGCGTCGTGCACAAGCGCCAGTGACCGTCGCCCGACCGCCCGACTGCTTGCAAGCACCTACCATTTGTAGCTCGGAATCGCCGACAGTCCTCCGATAATCAGCGACCTCCCCGTCCTCTCCGGCGCGTACTCCTTGCCGCTCATCCGCTGGGCCGACATGTCGGCGCAAAAGTAGATGACGAGCGCCGTCACAAACTGCGTCCAGTACGGCCTATTCCTCTGCGCCCGCGCATAGCCCTCCGCCGCCGTAGTCAACGGACCCAGCCGCTGCCACAGTGGAATTGTCGGTACCGTGTTGGGCACGGGGATCTGGTCCTGTTGCTTGGGCGTCTGGCGGGGCTGTTCAGGGTTGTGCTTCGTAGCCTGCGGCCTTCGCTGGCCGGCTCGCCTGCGCAGCCATGGCGCTTGCCGGCGCAGGACGCCTCGGAGCAGTGTAGTCATCGTCATGCCGTCGAGTTTTCGCTTCGTGGTTGTTTCTTTCAACACGGCTGTCATGGGCGCTGGGATTGCGTGCGTGACTCCCAAGTTGGGTCTTGAGCCCGGCATTTCCCTCGGCCGATAGTGCCCGGCCTTCGCAGGGCGTATTTTCGCCATCAAGGGCGCGGCACTTCCGACGCGGCACCTAATCTGCAGGCCGAGGCTTGACAGCCGGCGCCAGCTGGGGGGCTGTATCTTCTGGAGCGCTCGTCTGACAGTCACCTGGAAATTTAGTCTTCATAGGTCTGGTTTGCCTGGATGGATGGCAACCTATCATACTGGTATGAAGATCTAATCCGGTGCCGAGGCCCAAAGCCACCACACCATTCGTCTCCACGTTCTTTGTAGACCTTTTGCGGGACGACTGGCTGTCAACTGTTCATCCACCAACACAACGTTTCTCTTATTAAGACCTCCCAAGGGCGATAGAGGAAGAAAGGCATTCTCTTCTCGCGCCAGGGCGACCATGAAAACATGGTTGGTTGTATATGATCTCACTTCTATGTTAGCAATTCGTGGTCGAACAGGCTTCACTCTTCCAAAACCTTCTTCCAAAATCTTGCCCCTGAGACGAAAGAGGCTAAGAATCGCCGCCACATAAGACTCGTGCCATCTGGGTAGAGCAATGTGATCAGCAGAATCATCTTGATACAGGCCTGAAAATAAGACCTCTGCGTGTCGTTTCCAATCGTGCGCAGCTGGGCGCGAGAAACACTTGACATACTCCCAATGCTCCGTTGACTCGCACGAGTATACTCCCGAAACTCATGCTATAGGCAAAGTTTTTCACAATAGTCAATGCCACCCGGGCAGGAATCGTCACTGATCATGCTACAGCATAATGCACATCGCGACGGTCACGTCATGATGCACAATAACCCAGGTTTCCTGTTGGTATCAACTATAGGGTTCGCTTATACGCCCCCCACCCCCCAAAAAAGGTCAAACATCAACATTTGCAAGAATAGCCCTTGTGATAATTCGCTATGTAGCGCTCTGCATGCGGCTCGGCCGTGGGGTATCGTGTCGTGTAACAGGTACAGAGGGAGGAAAGAAAACAGACGCTTCGCATAATGTGAGAAACGAGAACCACAGGTCGACATTTGTGACGAGGGTTCCGATGTGAGAACGAACATGGCCAAAGTGGAGTCAGATTGATCAGTGCCAGCCAGGATCGAGATTGTGTCGTTTGATTGTCTCCAAAATAGGGGCGGAAGACTTTTTCTTCTTGGGCAGATGTGGAAAGGAAAATGAGTATAAGGATCGAATGTGGTCGGTAATGGACAATAATGAAAGTGCCGTGTGGGCGTCGGTGGCCGTGTAGGACCGGATAGGCAAAGAAAATAGGTAATGATCGTAAGGCTCGGTCCCTGGCTGGCATGTGAACATCGTCATCCTAAACTCTTCCACCAATGTTAGTTCATCACAAGGATAGGGGCACGCTTGACCTCCGGTCGCCAGTCGTAGGGTTTCGTCCCTTGCTGTCAATGCTGGCCCGGGGCGTGATGTCCAGCAATTTGGCGCTTCCAGCACTCATGTGGCGCACATGCCCCTTTTTGCCATAGCTGACCCTTGTCGCGCTCTCTACCAGGGGCGTTTCAATCAGGTCGCTGGATGAGCTGCTTTCCTCGTCAAACGTGTTAAGTAGACCCTCGCTGCTCTTGATTCGGGCGGCCTGCCGCCGGTGCATCACCGTCTGATGAGCACTAACAGAGCCCCATTTCATGTCGGCATCAGCCATGTGCTCATCCTCGTCACTGCTAGGGCGCCCATCGCCCGTTGATCGGCGGCCATGGCCGGTCTGCGCCATATTTGTATCGTGGGACGGAGTAGCAAGATTAGACAAGTATTCGTCGTCAGCAATCTGCTCATCAATCTCTTCTTCAGTATTGTTGCCGGAAGAGGACTGCTGGGACTGCCGTTGCTGCGCGTAAGGGTAACGGGGATTGCTGTCGCGCATGCCTAGGCCGGACGACGACCGCTTGCCCACGCGTCCAGACAACCACGATGCCTCCGAGTCAATTGATGCCAGGGAGACTGACTGCGGTTGCGGTGAGTGCTGGTTCAGGCGATGGACAGATGTAGGCGTCTGCCTCATAGTCTCGTCGATTGTTCTTCGCTCCGAGCTCGGCGTGTCATACCGCAGTGGCGTGTTGGAGGCTTCGATATCGCCTTGTTCTCGAGAGTGCCTCTCTGACAGTGCAGGCATGGGCGGCTCAGTCTCAGGCGACGCAACGCGAGAGTCTGGCGGCGACATTGGAAGTTCAGGTAGGTCCTCTCGGAATCGTGACCGGGTCCGCTTAGGAACGCCGGAGGTCATCTTGGTTGGGGTGTAGCCTACGACAGGAGGTGGTGTCGACGCCAGCGATGTGCGAGATGTCGCCGGTGCTTGTTGTGCCGAGTGCGTCGGTGCGAGACCTTGTGCTTGTATAGCAGCCTGCATCTCCTCTCGTGAGGTGTTTGAGAACGATGAGGGCCCAGAGCTCCGGCGATTGGCGCGTGATCCCCATTTGAATAGAGATGAGAAATTCAGCTTGCCGCGGCTGCTGGATTCCGAATCTTTACGTGGCGGTCATACTCCTCTACCTTGGTTGCTGTCGGCGACAGCCTGTGTCTCTCTTCGGACGCCAAAGATGTTCGCGATCTGGACATCTTTTTTCTGGATCGAGTAGCCTGCTGATGTTCCGGCAAGTGGTGTTGCCGCCGCCCGACTTCCTCTCTGACTCCAAGCGCAGTTCTCGAGCGGTATACTCTGGTCCTGTGGAAGTGGCTGAGAGGCTCATTCTGAGTGTCGAGGGCTTCTCAGCGGTGGTTTCGCGCTCCTGGTGATGCATGTCCCTGTTCTGGTGATAGAATTTGCCGCTTGCGTGAAGCATCTGATGATCGCCGCCGTGACGAAGTCACCACGGCTGACGTTGTATCAATACCGAGGCCGACTACATCGCGACCCATGACACCTCGTTCCAGATTTTGCGGCGGTGGGGTACCGCTCTTGGAGGCTGAGGCTTCGGCTTCGCGCTGCTTTTCTGCCCGTCTTGCAAGCCTCCTTTCCGTGTGCTCTTGTTCGCGCTGACGTTTCCTCTCCCTCCTCCTATTGTCGCGTTCCATTAGTTCGCGTAGATCGGAGGCACCCAGATCATCTGCAAGACTGTCGATCCGCTTGTGAGATTTTAATGTCGCCTCAGGCAGATTCGCTCTTTCAGCCAGCTTGTTCCTCTGCGAAGTAGACCTGGTGGGATCCGTGCTGTTGCCGGGAGCCCATCGGGGATGCGTCGCATACCGTAGAGTCGGGCGAGGGGCTAACGCCTCGAGAGCGGAGATCCTGTACGAGGCATGCTCCGAGTCGGATGACATGCTCGAGTGAATTGATTCGGGGATGGGCAGCGAAACTTCCGATACGGCGCCTGAGCCCCTGCCGCCCGTCCTTACCCTCTTACTGTCCTTCTTCATCGGCCTGCCCGCTGTCCATGCCTCGGCAGACGGTCTGACTGGGACAAAGTTACTCATGGCCTTGAGTTCGGCCTCACGATCGTGGTCGTCCCTCCTCCTCTTGCTACTCTTCCTCCTCGACATCTTGTCGCCATTACGCGTTCCGTACAGCGTCGGGACACGCTGCCATTGAGAATCTTCTTCTCTCTCCTCGTCTATTTGGTCGCCGGGCGAAAACCTCTTCCCGCGTACTGCGGTGGCCTGGGCAGACGTACCCTTGCCGTCAACCCTGATGGAGTCATGGCGGCCAGGCGAGAAACTGTAGGTCCGCGAGCGGCGGTGTAGCTTCGTGGGCTCTGTCTCTGTGCGTTGTTTCTTCTGTGATGGCGTTCGCTTGGTGGACACTGGTACGGCAGCGTCTGCCGTTTGACTTCGTGGTGGGCCTTCAACGTCGGAAAGGGCGGCGCCGCTTCTCGTGCGTTTGCGCCCGCTTTTCCTCCTAAATGGCCACAAAGCCATCTTCCATCTGAGTGCGGTCGCTGGGTCGGCGGGAACTACTTTTGTGGGCGTGATTGATCGGTGCGCTGCCTGTTGAACTGGCGCATAGTGATGGGTAACGTCCGTGATACCGGGTGGTGCTGGCGGTGCTGGCAGTTGTGCCTAAGCCGAAAGAAGCTGGAAACCTGCCTCGCAGGGTCTGTCGATCGGCTGGAATTGAGATTGTTTCGACAGCCCCGCCTGACTCTGGACTGGAG